TTTCTTTTTAAATATACAACAAAGTTATTATGTAAATTTCTTTTTTTTCTTCCATCCTCCTCCACCCCCCCACCCTAGAGATGGCTACCATAAGGTGCAGATAGCATCTTTCTTCAAATGTCTTTTTTAGTTAGTTTGGGTATTTATAATAGTCAAAATGACTTAGTCACTCAAAGTCATTCTTAAAACAATATTGCTGTTACTATATATAATGTTCTCTTGGTTCTGCTGATTTTGCTCTTCATTATTATATGCAGCTCTTTCTGTGTTTTTCTAAAATCATTGAGTTCATCTTTTTTGTGCGTGTGTGAGGCAATCAGGGTTAAGTGACTTGCCATGGGTCACACAGCTACTAAGTGTCAAGTGTCTGAGTTCAGATTTGAACTCAGGTCTTCCTGACTCCAGGGCCAGTGCTTTATCTACTATACCACCTAGCTGCCCCGAGTTCATCATTTCTTAATGCACAGTAGTATTCCATCACAATCATATACCACAACTTGTTCAGCCATTCCCTAGTTGATGGGCATCCCTGAAATTTCCAGTTCTTTGTACCACAAAGAGAATCGCCATAAACATTTGAGAACAGTAAGTTCTTTTGCTTTTCCCCTAATTATCTTCGGAAATAGACCAAGCGGTGGTATTGAATTGAATTGAATTGAATTGAATTGAATATTTTTTTTTAAAAAAAGAAAGCACTGAAAGTTTATAGATCCTCAGCCTGTCCCTGGATCATGGAGTAACACAACATTTAATACCCCAAGAAAGTAGCAATAGGACTAGCCCAGACCTTCCCTCCAGAAGTGAGGCAGAGCCCAACACTAACACATAAGTCTGAAGTCAGGAAGTAAAATGGAAGAATAATTAAACAAAAAAAGAAACACACCATAAAAAATTATCCTGGTGGCAAGGAAGCTCAAGACATAAATTGAAAAGGAGAGAATGACTCCAAAATATCTATGAGCAACACCTTACCTAGAGAAAAACATAGTTTGGGCATAAGCTCAAGTGGAATTCCCTGGAGAGATGAAGGAAGATTGTTTAAGAGTTTAAAATGTTTTTGTAAATGAAATGGGAGCTGTTGAAGAAAAAAATGGAAAAGAAATTAAAACTGCAGAAGAAAGAATTAGAAAGGAAATTAGCAGATTAGCATAAAAGGTACAAAACCCTGTTCAAGCAACAAATTCACAGAAAATAAAAATGAACCAAACAAGTCAATGATTCAATGAAACAACAAGAAATATTAAAATAAAGTCAAAAGACTGAAAAATAGAAAAAAAAATATAAGGTATCTGATAGCAAAAAGAATTTACCTGAAAAACAGATCAAGGAGAAAACAACTTAAGAATCATTGTACTACCTAAGTGCCATGACCAAAAATAAGAGCCTAGATATCCTATTTCAAGAAATCTCAAAACTGCACAGATCTTGTAGAACCAGAGAGCAAAGTGAAAATAGAAAAAAATGCACTAATCACCTCCTAGAAGAAACCCCAGAATGAAAACTCCCAAGAACATCATAGCTCAAAATCTAAACCTTCAAGGTTAAAATAAAATATTGCAAGCTACCTGAAAGACAAAATTCAAGTAGCAAGAAACCACAATCAGGATCAAACATAATTTAGCAGCCAATGGAAAGCTTGAAATACCATCTTCCAAAAGGTAAAGAATATGGGCTTGCAGTCAAGGATAACTGAGCCAGTGAAACTGAGTTTAATCCTGCAGGAATAAAAATGTATCTTTAAGAAGTTTGAAAGTAGGGAGAGTTTGCAGGGAAAGATACTGAGCTCAGTTTTGGACATGCTGAGTTTAAGATGTCTAGAGGGTGCCCAGTTCAAGATGTCTAATAGATGGTTGCATATGTGAGACGGGATCAAGTATACTTAGAGGACAAATACACTTGAGGTGATGCAATTATGAGAGTGCGAAGGGATCAATATGCAAGGTGTCTCAAGGGGAGGATGATATCAAAGACGTGGGGAAATTTTCAGATCTTATTGGTAATACCAAATAAGTTCTCACCTATAGAAAATCTTCATGGGAATTATCTACACACAAATTGAAGGCATCTTCAATGAGTTTGTAAGTAGGGAACAAGCAGGCTTTTACAAACAATACTCAACCAATAATGGATCATATCTTTACCATTTCCCAGCTGACTGAAAGATTTAGAGATTATAAGATCCCATCATACTTATTGTTTACTGATTATAAAAAAAAGCATTTGATTCAACAAAGCAAAATGCCACAAATGATTACTTTTTTAACAAGATATTTCCTATCTACACATTGAAATAATTCAAGAGTCTTTGAGAAACATAAAAAACAATCCTTTTAAACAACCCTCTTGATCATAAATATCAGGCAAAGAATAAAATAGAAGATGTATGATTGCCAGGAGGTGTTCATAGCTGTGATGAAAGAGATCCAGCATAGACCCCAAGTGAAGGGGGGATTCTCTATGGATACTGAGGTCTTATAGATGTTCTTTGTGAGTGACATCATGCTGGTTGCATCACTTTGGAATTCTACAGAGTTGTGGAACATTTCTGAGCCTCCTGAAAGAGAATAGTAATCACTCAAAAGAGTCTGATCTGACTATTCACACAGTAAACACCAAGTGAATGAAGAATATCCATTGCCCAGATTTTGACAAGCATTTGTATAAACAACAATAGAACCTAGCATGTCCATCAGTATAATCATCCTGGATAAATAGTACAGATAGACAATGAGTTAAGCAGAGGAAGGAGAGCAGACAATACTACCTTCCACAAATTGCAAAGCTCCTTTATTGACCCCAAGCTCACCATGGAAACAAAGGCCCATTTTTTTAAAGTCAACATTCTACTGGTGTTACTGAATGGCTGTAAGACACAGAGTACAACAGTATCTGAAGAATTAAATATGAATATAGCATGAGAACAATGTAGTGGAGGCTCTTTGTGGGCATAAGCGGGCTGCAATATTTAATAAGTGAAGCACTCGGAAGAACAGGAGCAAAAGCTAGCCCTGTGGAGCGGGCAAAGGATGACATGGTGGACAACCAGAGCATTCCACTGTTAGCCTCATCATGACGGGAGAGAGCGAGGCAGGCTTCCAGCACATTGGACAGACCCCTTGTGCTTGGTGACCTTCTGAGAAGACATAGATAACAGTCTGATATGACGAAAAGACATGGGGGAGTTGTGGCCTGCATTGTAGGAGGGTCTCCCAAAACAAGGAGATCACAGATCTGTTTGAGTACTAATCAATGGACTGTTTATTTAGGAAAAGGAAGAAATAACTTACTGGATAGTACTGTTGTAGATTCAGGTGGCAACCCTATGTTAAAAAGTAATGCCATAGCCAGATGTGAATGGATGTCTGCATACCGAAGTATTCACATGCCCAAGGAAAATTCTAAAGAAGTGTTGAAAAACACTCACAATTGAAAAACAAAGTCTGATGGGAAGTCAGAATGGCTCTTGAAACCAGGAAAGTAAAAGAGTATTTATTCAACCTTGGGATAATTGTGCTGGATTATCCACCTCCTGGAACATAAGATATCTTCCTCCTGTTCTCTAGGGAAGACAAAATGCTTCTCTCCAGACATCTCAGATGACCATCTAGTAACTTTCTGGAGTAAAGTCATATTACACTGACACATCCTTTTACTTTGCACAAACACACCCTGCCCCAGTACAGCCAGGGGCTTAGCATTCCAGGAATTGCCTAGGATTTCTTTTCTGATATCATCTAACAACCTAATGTCATTCCATACTCTTTCTATGACCTTGCACTACATTGTAGTATATTCTGACTCAGATCATATCCCAAGTTGAAATGGAACTTCCTCTATCTAAATCTAGAACATGGGATAGATTATTCCCTGAAGTTTTAGACTTATAAAAAGAAACATTGAAAATAGTCAATAATTGTGAAATACCTTTCAAGCTTAATTTAGAACTCTAATGAATTTTTTAAATTTAGCAAACAACTGCTTGCTCTGTTCAAGGCACTATTCCTATCTATATTAATTTGATTTTTGTTGTCGTTCAGTTGTGTCCAACTCTTTGTGACCCCATTTGGGCTTTTCTTGGCAAAGATGCAGAAGTGGTTTGCCATTTCCTTCTCAGCTCATTTTACAGATGAGGAAACTGAAGCAAACAGCATTAAGCGACTTGCCCAGAGTCAAACAGTAAGTATCTGAAGCCAGATTTGAATTCAGGAAGATGAGTCTTTTCTGGTGCTCTATCCACTGTACTATCTAGCTGCCCAATTTGATTTTTACTGCAAAATATTTCAGGATGAAAAAGGATTAAGTAGACAAAAAATTTCTTCAGAAAAATTTCATTTCTTTACATGTTAATATAAATAAATGAGGTCACTTACATCCCAGAAATAATGATGGTTCTAAATTATATATACTGTTCTTGATTAAACTTAAACTTGTATATTAGGAAAAGATGAAAAGCTCTTCCCTTTTAAGATTTGTTTAAGAATTAGAATGCCTCTTTGTGCTATTATATATGTCCACTAAAAACCTGGGCAAAGTCTGTGAGAAAAGATAAGCTGGGGAATTGCTATTACATGGTCCATATTTTGAAACCACATTATCACAAGGTCCATTTTAAGGTCTAAATTATTTCTGCCTTCTCTGAACTCCAGCGTAATTACTGTCTGCATGGTTAATTTGGAAATTAATCATTCAGTGCCTCATGAAATCTCTTCTATTATTGTCTCAGCTCTTTAAATCATTTGTTGTTATTCAATTTTCTCTTTTCTTTTCTCCCCAGCAAAATTGTTTCAGAGCAAGGACCTTCTTCTTGTTGGTAATCCCAACAGGGACTAGGACAGTATCTTATACATAATAAATATTCAATAATATTTGCTTTTGTTATTACTGAGAAATGAGAATTTACAAATTCAAGATGAATCCAAGTTTTGAGTAAGCTTCACACTATGTTACAGTGGATCCCACCTCCAATAAATTTGATATAAGAACAATAAAACTTGGCTCACCCAGTTGTTTCATATATTCATTAAAATTTTCACAAGAAGTTGATTTCCATGTTCCCAGGAGATGATCAACCATTTTGTTAGAGAACAAGTTGATTCTTTAAAAGGGAAAAAAAGATATTAAACTCTGTTATATCAATAAAATAATCATTATCAAAAGACACTTTCCGATTCATTACGATTCTGCTCTGAATTAGTGTTACCAAGGAGAAAATGGGGCAAACTTCACTGTGTACACATTTGACTTTTCTTATACCAGCTGAAACAGAAGAATCATCTGTAAACAGGAAGCAGTTATGAAAATTGTAGCCAGACTAATGTAGAAACAAGTTTTTCCAAGAATAAATGCTGCTTTTTCACAAGTCTCAAGGACTAATATTGTGAATATTACACATTGTCTTGTACTTGCTGATATGCTACAAGATGCAACAGCCAAAAACAGAGAAAGCCAGGGGGAAGTACCAGGGCCATTTAATGCCACAGTAAATGGACCTATACATACCTAAATAAAATACCCTCTGAAAGCATCAATTGGTAGTCGGGGGGGGGGGGGGGGCCCCCGGGGGGGGGGCCCGGGGGGGGGGGGGGGAAGAATCAAAAGTCAGAACTATACAGCAGTGTGGGAAAATTCCATGATAGGAGGTTAGTAGATACATGGTGACAACATTCTCCAAACCAAAAGTCAGGAAATATTATCTGACAAAGAATATTCTTAAAAAAAAAAAACCCAAAGTTTCATTATAAGCAGTTTCTTTCCCAAATCAGGACTCTTCCAGGAAATCTAGGACATGTGGTCATTGTACCTCCTTCCTATAGGGTATCATTTTATTACAGTTTAACATAATGTGATGTTCTTAATGGCCTTGAGTTGCCAAAAAAAAAAAAGATTATATTAGCATACTCTAAATTGGGGCAGGACAATATTTAAAACCATTCAAAATGGTTCTAATAGCATTTTTATAGTAAAGAGCCAATCTTCATTTTTATAAAAAAAAATTCACTTAAGAGAATTGCACTCTTCAGCTATGATAGTTAAATGCAATATTATAATTACCATTTTTGATCTGTTTATCAGATTGATTTTTGACATGGCATACTTTGTTTTTCATTTGGAAGGAAATTAGCAAATTCTAATTATCTAATGGAAATTATCTATGAAATATTCATCAACTGATGACATTTAGAAGAATGTTTGCTCTACAGTCATATTGTTGGAGAAGGGAAAGATTCAACTTTGACAATCTACATTTGATTATTCCAAGGACTGGTGGCAGCTTGTCAAACCTTATGGCTTCTCTTTGTTTTTCTCAAGGTTGTCTATCTTTAATCCATTTCATTTCTTATTAACACCTCTGCCAGAGGGTAGGCAGAGGGTTGAATAAACTTGAATACTCATTAGCATCTCTGAAGATTTAATGGAGAAGAAGAATAAAACTATTTATTAAAATTAGGTTTATGGATTATCTTCATAATCACTGTATCTCATTTATCCTAAAATAATGGAAAATGATTGTTTGATGTAAAGCCCTCAATGTCTAACTACCCATCACCATATTCTCAGCTGTTTCATGAAACTCCCTGGGCTTGATCTTGCTAGAAATTATTTTAACACAAAGAAATAGGAGCACTTACCTTATGACAATCTAGGAGCTGCAGGATTTCTGATTTCCCTTCACTGTTACACAGCAATCCCAAAAGTGGGCAGAATGTAGATGTTTGTTGTGGTGACTGGGAGAGTTCCTTCAGTTCTCCTTAAGTGGTGATAGTCTTGTCTTCTACCTTCTGTACAGTGGGGTACTAACTCAGAACTCTCCCAAGTCAGAGGAAAAGATAGTGCCAGGAGACTGGCTAGAATGTGATGACTTTGATCCAGTTGCTATGTCATAGGTCACAATGGTTATTTGTCTTGGAGAGCTAATGAGGTGAAATAGAGTGAAAAGAGAAGCAGGAACAAATGGTTTAGTCATGTTATAAAATGAGACATTTTCAACTCCATGTAAAAAAGAACCTATTAGTAAGCTTTCAATCAAATAGATACATTTACTTACTGTATTGTACTGTAATAAATATTTGTTGAATTTACTTGAACTGAATTGACTTTCTGAAGAGAAAATATTTTAGCAGTAGTAAAAAAAAAAAGGAGGGGAGGTTCAAAAAGAATGTTCAATTCCCTTTTATGTTCTGTCTTCTCCCATTAGATTGTAAGCTCTTTGAGGGCAGGGACTGTCTTTCTGTCTTTTTCCTTTCACCAGTTGTCCTAACTTTTGTCTTACCTCTGGAATTCTCTGGAAGAGAGAGCTTGAGGCTGATGACTTTGCTCAATTCTGCTTCTCTTAAATCCAATTTCCTACTTGTATCCCCAGCACTTAGCACAGTAGTACTTAATGAATGTTTATTGACTGACACCTCTCTTTCTCTCTCTCTCTCGCTATCTCTCACTCTCTCTCTCTGTCTCTGTCTCTCTCTGTCTCTCTCTTTCTGTCTCTCTCTCTCTTTCTCTCTCTCTCTCTCCCTCTCTCTTTCCACTCGTTTGCCAAGTCCTGTCATTTCTGCCTTCATCACATCTCTCATATATGACTCCTTCTCTACTCTGACACTGCCATCATCCTAGTGTGAGACCTCATCACCTCACACCTGAACTATTGTAATAACTTGTTGAAGGGTCACCCTGCGTCAAATATCTCCCTACTCCAGTCCATCCTTGACTCAACTGTCAGATTGATGTTCCTAAAGCACAGTCTTACCATGTTACCACCTTCACTATCCATTATAAACTCCAGTGGCCCCCTGTTACCTCTAAGATCAAATAGAAAATCCTCACACCAGCTGAAACAGAAGAATCATCTGTAAACAGGAAGCAGTTATGAAAATCATAGCCAGACTAATGTAGAAATAAGTCTTTCCAAAAATAAATGCTGCTTTTCCACAAGCCTCAAGGACCAATAGTGTGAATATTACACATTGTCTTGTACTTGCTGATATGCTACAAGATACAATAGCCAAAAACAGAGAAAGCCAGGGGGAAGTACCAGGGCCATTTAATGCCACAGTAAATGGACCTATATATACCTAAATAAAATACCCTCTGAAAGCATCAATTGGTAGTCAGGGGGAGGGGGGAAGACCCTACTGGGGAAGGGAAAGAATCAAAAGTCAGAACTATTCAGCAGTGTGGGAAAATTCCATGACAGGAGGTTAGTAGATACATGGTGACAACATTCTCCAAACCAATAGGTTATCCCTATCAAGGATTTAAAAATCCTTCATAGCTTGGGCCCTCTCTACCTCTCCAGTCTTTTTGCACCTTACTCCCCACTCCCCCCACCCCACATTCTGTGACATTGGACTCCTTGCTCTTCCTCAGACAAGAAACTCCATTTCCTGACTTTCCTTTTCATTGGTTGACCCCCATGCCTGGAATTCTCTCCCTCCTTATTCTGCCTCCTGGTTTCCCTGATTTCCTACAAGTCCCAACTAAAATCCCACCTTCTACAAGAAATCTTTCCTGAGTCCTCTTAATGCTAGTACCTTTCCTCTATTGATTAATTCTAATTGATTTCATATGGATATATACAAATGTATGTATACATACATCTTGTGTGTATATGTAGAGATAAAGTCAAGGGCCATGTATATAGTTTGCATGTTGTCTCCCCAATTAAACTATGAGCTCCTTGAGAGCAAGGCTTTTTTTTTATCTTTTTCTGTATCCCTAGCACTTAGCACAGTACACAAGACATAGTGTGAGTGCTTAATAAAGGCTCATTGACTAGACTTCTGTGGTTAAAAGATACACACAAAAAATCTGTTCAGGAAACATGACTTCCCATTCTTCTTGTCAATCAGCAAGCAGCTAATGAAAATAAAATCCAACTTAAATTTTTAAATCTCTTGCTCCTCTTAACAAAGTTGCCCTAAAATCCTATAGTCGATTAATCACCCAACATGGATATTCAAGAGGAAACATTGCAAAGAGTGGTTGCAAGAGGAATGTAACAGAGTGATGATGCCCTTTGCTAAAAGTCAGTTAACTACTCCTTTCTTAATCACTACAGCAAAATTCACCCAGTGCTTTACCCAATCTCAATGTTCAAAGGGACTTAAGAGGTCTCTTTACCTATATATTTTAACAGTTTGCATCAAATAAACATTTTTCCTGACCATTTTTAGGTATCAAAGGTGAAACAATTCTTTCACTTTAGTAAAAATACTTTCTGTCCCTTTCAGCAATAACTACAACATGTGAGAAGACAGAACATTAAAGGGATAATACCCATTGGTATTCCATTGGAATTAGTTGCTTTAAATATGCTTTTTCTATTCAACTTTGACTTAAGGATGCCAGTAAGTCTCTTGATATACACTGCAATGGTTTTATCTTTTATAAATTTATGTTTGATGTTCCTTGCCAGGAAAGGACCAAGATATTTATAAATATTTTATTTAACCACTGATTCAGTATGACTTCTACATTCAAGCTTGAAAACTGTCTTCCTTGGCCTATATTGTGAATTTTATATTTATCAAATCCTAATGGCAGTTTAATATCATTAAAGAAAAAGTCTACAAGATGGAAAAACTTTTAAATGTATTTTTTCAGTGGAGCCACATAACCTGTTATCCATGTACATCAAGTGATTAATAAGATACTTTGGTATGACTTCCTTTTTATTAGAAGTCAAACAGTTCTATTTAAGAGAGATGATGATGGGTTCAAAGCTAGGTAGAACCATATGAGACAAACTGTCTCCCTGAAAGATATCATCTTAATTTCACATTAGTAATGTGTTTAAACAGAGAACAGTTCTTGATGCATACATCAAATATTCTATGAATCTTACTCTACTTGAGTCTATTTTATATATTTGCAGTAAATAAAGAAGCCATGACTGGGGCGCTGAGTCAAGGGCCTTTTAATAATCAATAGGAGCAGAATACATGGTATGGTGCTTTCATGCAGTTTCTTCAACACCAAATCAATTTTAAATATCTTCTTATATCCCTGGGACTTTTTGGTGTGCCATTTTTGCTCCTTGGCTAATAAATAGTTTTCTTATATATGTTAATAAAAGGTATTGAGGGGATATAAGATATGAATGCTTTGTATAAAGTACATAAACATTATTGGCCTGCATTTGGAAGTGTCATTGGTGATTTCATCTTTTTTTTAATAGATATCTGGTGCCTTCTCTTAAGAAAAGATGAGGCTTATGCCTAAGAGGAAAGTGTTAAAGTGCTTTGCTAGCAATTCATGTACCACTATGAAACATTTGAGTCAATAATTATGGATCTTATACAGACCTAACACTTTCCAGCTTTGCAGAGAAGCTAGAGTTGTAGTCAGTTCCCCTTATACCACTACTATTACTACTACCACTATTACAGCTGCTACTGCTGCTGCTACTACGTCTATAACTACTACTATTATTATTTTTAGGACAGCGAAGTGGCAGAGAGAGCAACTAGGTGATCAAGTAGATAGAGTGCCAGGCCTATAAACACAACCATTTCTGGGCTTTTGTATATCTGAATGTGGCATGCTCTTGTTTTTTCTTGGTTTCTTAATAAAAATAACTTTTGCAAGCTTTCATCCTCCTGTAGGAGAAGAAAATTTATTTTGTCCACATCTTCATCAAGATCAAGGTGGAATCAATATTCCCAGAGATAAAGTGTGATGGTATCAAAGCTATGAAGACAGAGGAAACTGAGGAAAGAATTTAACAGAAAGCCAGCAGGGATAAAGTCCACACTCCCTCTCATCCTGCATCAACCACCAGATATAAGAAAGTAAACTATAATCTGTGAAAAGCAAAATCAAAGTCCATTATCACTCACTATCCATTACCAGAAGTTATTTCAGTCATACTTTCAAACTAAGTTGAAGGGTTGGAAGTTGAAAGGTTGGAAAAATTTCAAAAACTTTGTGAAGATCTCACTAGCATTTGGCATCAAAGCAAAATTAAAACCACACCCAACACTGTTGGCTTTCTTGGAGCTGTTTCAGAAACCACCAGAGATGAGAGTCAGGGCCTAGAGGTTCCAGGCTCTCTCTCTGTAGTTCTATAGTCGTATGAGGGATGGTTATTTCCTCCTTTATTTAGGCAGAATGTAATAAACTCAAATGCATTCCCTCTGGGCTATATTCCTTTAACTAAAAATTGAAAATGAATGATGACATCGCATGAATTCCTCCAGGAACAATTAAATATGCTTGTTCTTCAGCAGGTTTGGGCAATATGCTATTGCGCTAGAATATTTCACTTCATACTGATTTTGTGATAGTAGCTCCCATGGAAGAGATTTGCTCTAAGCTCATTTGGGTATTAGGTTATGGGGTAATGAACTATAGTAATCCCAATAGACTGTAAGGATTAAAAATTTTATTTAAGAAAGAGCACCAAATACTAAGTAAGTGCTTTTAAAAAGTGATAGCCAATATTTAGTTTTGTCAGCAGTTGCTGAGGGACTAGATTTTTAGGAAAGGAACATATGTATATATATATATATATATATGTAAAATCTCAGATACTATGCTAGAAGGCATAGAATCTTAGGTCTAGAGTTACAAGGGATTTCAGAAACTATCTAAACTTACCTCTTAATTTTCAGATCAGGATACCTGGGCCCAAAGATATTAAGAGACTTCCTCAAGATCATACAAGTAGTATGTG